CAGCATTTAAAAAATTTCACTGTTGAGAGTCAACAAATACATACTTGTTTCTTATGTCTCAAGTACACCAGGAGTAAACAAGGTTAGACTTTCTCCTTAAACTATTTAAATTCAACTTCCTTACAGTATAGTATCACCTGGACCAAAAGCGCTTACTGAGTTCACTGAGTTCAAGGCCAGCAGAGTGAGACCCTGTCTCAAAAAACAAACTAACAAACAAAAAAGAAGCAGCTCTCCAGGTGATCCTCAGCCATTTACTGAACATACATTCTCCAACATTCTAGTAGAAAATAAGAGATAACTAAGTAAAACAAAGATAAACATTTTGAAAGCCAGGCATGGTGGCTGTAATCCTAGCACTCTGGAGGCTGAGGCAGGAGGATCACAGTTAAGGTCAGTCTACAAAGCATGACCATTTCAAAAAACATGCTTCAAAGCCAGCCTACTCAGTGAGACCCTGCCTGTCTCAATAAAACCCAAAAGTAAATATTTTAGATTTCAGGTGTGCTGTAAGAGTGACCTGGAGGAGTACTTTAAAATCAGTAATCAAAAAACCTTTCTGTGGAAATATATGAAGTGTCCCTTTATTCAACCATGGTTCTCAAACTTTCAGGGTACATCAGACCACCTACAGGATTTGTTAAAATAACTGCTGATCACAAAGGCTGGAATGGAGCCAAGCATTTGCATTCCTAACAAGGTACCAGATAATAATTGTGTCAACACTAATCTAAGAACTATACTTTTTGAACCATAAATCTAGAGAATAACAATAGCTGGGCATGGTAGAGCATGCTCATAATCCCATCACTTGGGATGCTGAAGCAGGAGGATCATTGAGTGTTTGAAGCCATCCTGGACTACACAGTGGGTTCATTCAAAGCTAGCTTGAGCTATACAGGGAGACCCTGTCTCAATAAAGAGAGCGAGAGAGGGAGAGAGGGAGAGAGGAAGAGGGGGTGAGGGGGCAAGTGGGCAAGGGGGTGATGGAGGGAGGGAGAGAGTGATTGAGGGGGTGAGAGGTAAGGGGGCAAGGGAGAGAGGGAGAGAGGGAGAGAAGGATAGGGGAGATGGGGAGAGGGAGGGGGAGAGAGAGAAGAGCGAGCAAGAGTGTGTGGTTTAAGTTTATAAAAGCAGAGAAAATTTTTAAAAGCCAGTTAGGAGAGAAAAGGTACTAATCTTTTCTTCAGAATCAACTGAGGAATATGATGAATTAAGCTACAAGTTATGGTTTGCCCAATGAAAAAAGATAAAATTACAGTTGTTCAATAATACCATGCATTTCTGGAGCATTTAAACTATAAAACATTTTCATAGTCAGCACTTAATTTGACTGCAATATAAATGAATAATTATTAGTTACATTATAAAGAAACTGAGGAAAGTCAAGCATAGCTGTGTATGACTAAATCCGAGCACTCTGGGGAGGTTAAGGCAGGAGGATGGGAAATTTGAGCCCTGCTTAGTGACTTGACAAGACCCTGTGTCAAAATATAAAATAAAAGTCTGGAGATGTGGCTCAGTGCAAGGAGTCTCACTGCCACATACATACAAAAAATAAAACAAACTGAATGGCAAAACTATGTCCCTGACAACCAATGTGCTTTCCAGCATAGCTCTTGTACCCTCCACCCTGTGCTGGTGAATGAATGAAGGCTGGGGCATATGCTAGCTACATGCTCCACCACTAAGCTACACCTCCAGCTCTTTTATTTTGAGACAAGGTGTCACTATGCCACCCTGTCCAGTTCTATTGGTCTCATTTTTCTATAAACAAAGCAAAGAGTACATATAGGAGCTACAGCCAAATTAGTTCCTAGATTCCCTACCTAAAAATATAGTATGTTTTCCACTCAGATTTGCTTTTATGTTTAGAAAGCAATATTGACAGTATTTATTCTATTCCACTTACTCATTCTACTTCAAAAACAAAAGAGAATTGAAAAGGAATTTACAGGTTATTTTTCTCTGCTACATATATTTTTTTATAAAGTTTATTTAGTGAGTGTGTGTGTGTGTGTGTGTAATTTGTGCTACTTCCTGCTTTGTCATTGACTATGATCAATCTTTTTTTTTTAATTTTGTGTGTGTGTGTGTGTGTGTGTGTGTGTGGCCAGCTCAGCCCACCAGGGGGCGGGGCTGGCTGGCGTGTGGTGCTGGGGAATTGAACCGCGGTCCCTGTGCTTTAGCTAAGCTTGTTCTAAGTAGGTGCTTTAGACCACTGAACCATCTCACCAGCCCCTGCTACATATATTTTTGAAAGGCAATTTTATAGCCTCAATCTCTCAGTCACATCAAATACTGTCTGCATCCTGTTCCCTCTAAATCTCTTAAACCAGGTTTTCACAAAAACACTGAATCTTCTGTGTCTTACTACGCATAGGGTGCCATAAATAGTTATACTGAATAGATCCATTATCATTAAATATCTTCTCCACCAATCAAGACATCTTCCCCCCATACTGGGGACTGAACCCTGAGACTTGACACTGAGCTATAGGCCAGTTCCCCTCCCCATTTCTTTCTTTCTTTCTTTCTTTCTTTCTTTCTTTCTTTTTTTTTGGCAGAACCGGGGATTGAACTCAGGCCCTTGCGCTTCTTCTTCTGAGCTATCTCCCTGCCCTCCACCCCATTTATTTGTTTATTTAATTTTTGAGACAGGGTCTCACTAAATTGCCCAGGCTGGGCTGGAATTTTGCAAGCCTCTTTCCTGAACTTCTTAGGATGCTGGGATTACCAGCATGTTCCACCACTCCCACAAGAAAACTTGTTCTTAACATCCTACCTGTATATTCCAATAATACATTAAAAGCAAAACAGCCAGAATTAAAACCACTGTGCCCTCTCTTGAGTACACATACTTGCTTTTGTACTCCTATACCTAATTTTTGCTGTTGTTGTTTCTGCATTGGAGAATCACACTCAGGGCCTCACACATGCTAGGCAAGTAACTACTCTACTGAGCTACATCCCTAACCTTGTTGCAGAACTCATGTTCATTAACAGAGCTACCATTCACCAAACAAGAAGATTGAAATATATCTAACATATGTATCTCCTCACACCAATTTCAACACCACCCTCCCAAGTTCCTTGCAGAAATTCAAGACTCTATATTCTGCTACTTACCATCAGATACTGATAACAACCTGCCATTTCATTAGTAACTATCATTAACAGTCACCACCCATTTTCTCTCACTTCATTCTCTCAATAACTCTATAAAATACTTTTGTCCATACTTCACAAATATGAAAATTGAGGCTAAGAATAGTTAAATTGTCCAAGTTATAAGTGAAAGGGAGCAGAGACAACCAAACTCAATGTTTCACAAAGCCCTTGTCATTCCCCATACTGAAGCACTTCCTCTGTAACACCTGCTATGAATCCTTTACTACCCATCCCAAATGATAATTTCTCACCTCGATTATTGCCAAGATGCTCCTTCATTCCTCAAATGCTCATTTTGGATCACAATCTGATCCTTTTACCTTCCTTATACAAAAGATTTTCCTGAAGGCCCATTAGTTCACAAGTTACACTCCACAAAATAAATCCCAATCCTTTAGTACAGATCCACAATCCCCTCCCTATAGTTCTAAAACTCAAAAGCTTTGGTATTTCAGTTAAGTCTGCAACGAAACCCACCTGAGCTGCAGGAGGCTATTAATCGTCTATTATCCCACTGTGACATTCATGTGTTTCAGTGCACAATTAATGTGTTCGATGCGATGTAAACCCAGACCCCACTAGAGTACTATGTGACACCTTACTAAAAAAAAAGCAGAAAATTCAAGACTCTGTATATTCTGAAATCCAAAACACATCTAGACCCAAGGGTTTCAGAACACTCTAATTTATTATTTCTTCAATCTATCAAACCAATGTAACTTCCACCAATCACTTTACATATCCTCTAGTTGCAGAGATACAGAAGATGCCCTATAGACTCATTTTTTTTTTTTTTTTTAATCTTTTTGAGACAGGGTCCCGGTATGCAATTCAGGCTAGCCTTGAGTTCACTTCATAGCCCAGGATGGTCTCAAACTTGCAGAGATCCTCCTGCCTCAGCCTCAATATGGGGATTACGAGTGTGCGCCACCAAGATGGTTTACACTGTATCCTGAATGCCCTCCAAACCAGTTAAGTACTCACGCTTCAACAAACTGTTCCAGGATTTTCCTCATGTGAAGTTTCCTTGACCTTCCCTCCATTAAACCTCAATCATTATATGGAGTACCTACCCAACTACTGTATATTAGCTATCTGTTAGACCGTGAATAAGATCCTCCTTATCGGGTACAATGTTGTATTACACTACGGGCTCATTAACGTCTAACAAACCAAACAAAACATGCCCAGGTCTCCCTAACTTCCATTCTCCTTCATCCTCAAATCTTACAATTTTCCCTAAGCAGCTAGGCCCCTCACGGTCATGATCACTTCCCTAGTTCCTCCTTCCCAAATGTCATCTTAAAATTATTTTGTAACAAGCGCCTTCTTTTGGTCTCAAGCTCTCCAATGTCTGTTACCTACCTCCATCTAATCCGTAGTCTCCTGTCTCACAGCCAAGAATAGGCCAATCTCCCTGCCTCCAGAGCCCGTATCTCTCACTCTCTCAACAAGCCCTCTCCTGGTCCAGGTCCTCCACCCCATACTTCTCCAAACGGGTCTCCCAGACCCTTCCTCCTCTCCAGGCCGGGGTTCCCCGGCTCCAAAACCAGCGCTAGGCCATACCCGTACCCAAGAGCTCCCCGCAGCCAGCGTCCCCTCCCCCAGCCCTCGCGGCCGGTACCCCTCCTTCCACCCCGCAGTTCCACCCGCGCGGTCCACTTTCTTCCCGACTGCCCCAGAGGCCGTGTCTGGCGCCTTGCGTGGCCCTGGAGACCGCGCCAGTGCAAGCAGCGCAGGACCCCGGCACCTTGGTCTCCCGGTCCTCCCGGGGTAGGCACCCGCCCAACACACCAGCGGCCCAAACGTCGGGCAGGCCGGCGGCTCACCTTGGTGGACGTCGCCGTTGCTGCTCCCCGGGATAGGCAGGCTGAGCTGGCGCTCGGGCTCCGGGAGGCAGCGCAGGCAGAAGGAGTGAAGGCAGGGCAGCAGCTTGGGCTCCGCCTCGCGCCGGCTCTGCAAGCTCTGCTGACACACGGCGCAGGTGTCCAGGAGCGAGGCTGGCGGCCCCAGGGGCGGCCCCGACGAGGGACCCGGAGCGGGAGCGGACGCCGGGGCTGGCGCGGGCGTCGAAACCAGCCCCCCGGGAGCCCCGGGCCCTACCGAGGCCGCCGGGGCTGAAGCGGCCGGC